GTGTGTGTGTGTGTGTGTGTGTGTGTGTGTGCGAGTGTGTGTGGGGGGGGGGGGGGGGGGGGGGGGGGAGGAAGAGAAAACAAAAAAGAAAGAACAATCCTGCATTGCAAATACTGTAATATTCAGCGAAATTTTTCTTTTTCCGGATCTGATTTACTTACGTCCCCTTTTCCTCGATTTAATTTAATCTTTACTTTTCGTACGACAAAAAGTAATATTTTTGTAAGTTCTTTGAGGTGAAGAGCTCCCAGCGTAGAAAACGAAAGCAAACTATATTTCAATTTCAAAAAAAAAAAAAAAAAAAAAAAAACGAAATGATGCCGACGTAGAAAAGGAAAGGCAGCGGGACCTGTTTTCTGCTAAATATATATAAGAGACCTTTCATCTTCTTCTCTACACTGCAAACTGAGCGCACTGCAAATTGAGGCAAGTCTTCTTTCAAATTGAGCGCTCATCGTCGACCGTTATAGACAACATGTCAGAGGAACCTCCGAAAAAAAACAAGAAAAGAATTCACCGATGATTTTTTCTTTTTATTATAGCTTTAAAGAAAAAATTAAAATAGGAATGGAGGGGGATAGACGGGGGGAAGTGGTCGAGGGGGGGGAAGCGGGAAGAGAGGGGAAGGTGCGGAGGTGTATAAAAGCGGAGGGAGAGAGGGGTAGGGGGGGAGATGTGTAGAAATGGAGGGAGAGAGGGAAGAAGAGACCGACAGAGATCGAGGCGGGGAGGATAATACTTGGCTGGCGGGATCAGAGAAAGAGACGATAGAGAGCAGAGAGTGTATAAAGACGAAGGTTGGAACGAAGCCGTACTACACACACCGAGAGAGAGAGAGAGAGAGAGAGAAAGAGGAGGCAGAGAGAAAGAGGTAGAGAGAAAGAAGAGAGAGGGAAGGAGGGAAAACGATCAGACCTGTAATGTGTCGAGATCCCGAACAACAAGGCGATAATCAACGGCAATGGCGAGTAGTTTCCCATCCGGCGACCATGCACAGGGTCCACTATGCTTGTATGTCTCACTGAAATCCATTTGCTCGTTGAGGAAAGAACTGCTGAGGTCGATCGTGCAGGGCAGGAATGCTGATGACGATCGATGATTGCTCCGTGATTATCAATCCGACGGACGAGCTGATGCGCTGAAGTTGAACCCGAAGTCGATCATCCGACGGTCAGTACTACAGTTCTCTGCTTTCGACGACTACTACCATCATCGTCGTCTTCCAAGATAACTCATGGCGGCGCAGATGATTTAGCCAAACGATGATGATGATGACGATGTGATGATGATGAGGATGATGATGAGGATGATGATAATGATGATGAGGATGAGGAGGAGGATTTGATGAGGAGGATGAATGTGATGATGATGATGATGATTTAGCCAGACGTTGAACCTTAATGACGATGACAGCAAACAATGAAAAAGAGGAGGAGGAGGAGGAGGGATCAGAATCACCGAACAATCTGTACTAATAAGGATTGGTTGAGTTTCTTGGGCTGATGTTATGGTCGGTAGAATTACTTTGCTCGTCACAATTTCCAATTTCCAACTGCGGTCATGAAGAGACGGATAAGGATTCGCATCTGTACTAATTACTAGTAAGACTTGCTTTGCTCGGCTACCCTCTTGTCCTCCTCCTCCTCCTCCTCCTCCTCCTCCTCCTCCTCCTCTTCCTCCTCCTCCTCCTCCTCTTCGCGTTCTCCTCTCCTTCCTCAGTGCTAATGCTGCTAATACTTAGTTTCTCGTCTTAGTCATCGTCGTTTTTGTCTTCTTCTCTTCCTGCACCTTCTCTTCCTCCTCCTCCTCCTCGGTGTTGTGCATACACTCTCCCGGGAGGAGTCTCTAGCTAGTTATGGTAAACACGACGAAGTGGTATCTGATTCTGGTGCATGGCTATGGATGTTGCCAATGAATGTGAAGGTCCATGGACATGGTGGCTATGGCGGCTATGGCGGCTATGGCGGCTATGGCGGCAATGAAGCCGTAGACAGCCGAAGAATGAACAAGTTACTAGGAGCCTCCTCGGTCAGCACTGGTGATGGCCCGCCCGTTCGATCTCGTCGAGATCGAGGAACAATGTTAGGTTAAAAAAAAAAGAGAGCGTAGTACAAGACAAAACTCTCCCAATTCAAGACGCGAAGGGAGAGCGAAAGAAGACGAGGCGGGGCCCAAAAAAAACACAAAAATGAAAAACAAAAAWAAAMAWAAAWRMAAAAAAAAAAAAAAAAAAAAAAAACGAGCCTCCCGCGCAAACTCCGGCAGATTTCTTTTGGAGATCTATCTTGCCCTCCTACCGTGTATATACTGTAATCGGATCCTTTTGACGATCAATCTTGCGCAACTATGAATGTATAGAGCTATCTTTCCCGGCTCGATGCAGTCATAATGAGGGTGCATTGTGTTCGAGGGAAGATGGTAGCCGCCATCGCCCGATAATGGTATCTAATTATGGGACCGTGAGCAACCAGGAAGGAAGGAAACAGGACTGATTAGTCGTCAATCACACAGAGAGAAAAGAGAGAGAGAAAGGGGAGAGAGAGAGAGAGAAAGGGGTAGACGAAAAGAGAGAGAGAGAGAGAGAGAGAGAGAGAGAGAGAGAGAGAGAGAGAGAGAGAGAGGGAAGGAGAACCCGAGGGATGAGTGGGCAAAGAACAGAGAGGAAGTAGAAAGACAGGGTACGCAGAGACAGAAGAGGCGAGATTCTGCGATGGGGAAACAGTTGGTCGACTGGCAGCTCTCTTCCACCGATGATTATCCCTAACGGTCCAACGGTCTAATTCACGGCAAAATTCGGAAATTAGAAGGCCAAGATCGAAAATTTTGGGGCGGAGATCGCAAATTTAACGGCTAAAATCGAAAATTTAACAGTGAGAAACGACAGGAGATCACGCGCGACACTCAAACACCTCCCATATTTGATGGATAAAGGATTCCTTGTTTTTTCCGAAAAAAAAAAAAAAATCAAACACCTCCTCCCATCCGGCGTTGAAAGGCAAAACGATAGAACAAGACGGCTGCTGTGGCAAAAAGGGTAAGAAAGAAAAAAGATCAAGAGCGATCGACAGACCGAGATTGAGATCGAAAAGCAGGAACTCGGCGATGGCGATGGCGATGGCGACAGCACGTAGAGGGAGAATGTGACGAGGAGGACGTTTAGAGGACGTAAACGAGCCGTGGGTGATGGCTGATGATCCCACCGGACGAGCGAAACCGTTAACGACAAGTATCGAAGGTACCCAAATCAAGAACCGAGAATGTCTGGTGATACGCACACTACCAGGTAGGACTTTCTCGGATGCATACGAGCGCAAATTGCGACCAGGTTCTGTACAGTACGAAAGGTGCCAACATTGGACAGTAGGACTTTCTCGGGTGCATCCGAGCACAAGTTGCGACCAGGTTCTGTACAGTACGAAAGGTGCAACTGTGAGATGGCCTGCCGACATGGCCTAAGCGAGTCTCTGCCGACACGGGACACCTGCATCGGAGCGCAAATTGCGACCCGGTTCTGTACAGTACGAAAGGTGCATCTGTGAGGATAGCCTGCCGACATGGGACACTAGGACTTTCTCGGATGCATCGGAGCACAGATTGCGACCAGGTTCTGTACAGTACGAAAGGTGCAGCTGTGAGATGGCCTGCCCACATGGCCCAAGCGAGTCTCAACGACGACGAGAACCAGGCAGAAGGCGGTTCCATTCCGCCATCCTCTGGTTCTCCGATCAATCGGACGCCAGCAATCCTATGGTATCTGGAACCCATTGATTTGTCCCGAAATCCTGGAGTGGGCCCAGACCAGAGATTGCGCCTGGGGGAAGGTCCCACCTCGCTCCACTACTCGCCACATGCACAGGAGACAAAAAATGCCGGCGCATCTTTCCAGGTTCCAGCACAAGATTCATTCTCATTTGGCTCATTTACCGAGTAGTGAAGATCCTCAAGATCCTCTGCTGTCGGCCGCCGATTGCGAAGATCGACGGCCAAGAAATGAAAAATCACAAAATGGCAAGTGGGTCCTCACCTTCCTGCCGCCAAGTGCTGAGCATCGCGAAAACGGAAACGGGACATTGCCCCCCTTTCTTTTTTCTTTTTTCCAACCAATTCAATTACCTGTCGAATCTGGACAGGACAGCCTTTCAGGCCTTTTTCATCGTCATTATAGTATTACGGGGCCCAAGGGCCTCGTTTGACACCTCTACACGATTTTAGGGTTTAGCCATAGCCGTGCGGAGCTTAACCACCATGCCCTGCAGCGCAGCACAGGGAAGGGGGCTCTTCGAGTGGTCAAGCTACACAGGTTAGCTCGAGCAACAGAGACACGAGCTTGTCCAGGGCTGAGAGGAGGGAGTGGGCTGGCCCTCTGAGGAGGGGAGGGAGGCAGGCAGCATGGGCTTTTCAAGCAAGAGCTGCAGAGCTGAACAACAGACAGGTGGCCGCATTCAAGACAGCGAAATCACGAACAAGTCTAACATTTCTGAATTGAAGAACGCTGAAAGCGTCCTTCCCATAGAACACTTTGAAACGCAATGAGAGGAGAGCAGGATAACATACAAGATCGCAAAAGGAGGTGCTTCAAAGGACCAGTATTGAACTCTGTGGGAGATATGTCTGTGTGTAAGAGAGAGAGAGAAATAGTGAGGGAGTTAAAGTTGGTTTAGTTTCTCCGTAGAGTTGCAGAATAGGAAACAGTCATAAAGATAGAAAACGTGGAGAACAGTAGAAAGATCGAGGGAGAGGACCTGGTGTGTGTGTGTGTAATATGATACGAAACCCCCATGTGAACAGACGTAGCGTGCTGCGCAGAAAAAGCACATCAAGCAACATACCAGGAAAAAAATTATCCACTTCATATGGCATGACCAAAACAAGCAAATAAAGAGAAGCTGAATGCCTTACTGTTGAAGCCAAACAAACTAGCACATGGGGAGGAGGCAGGGAAGAACCAAGAGGAGGTAATGCACATCGTGAAAACGTATGAGGCGCATAAACAACACGCAACAACAAAACACATAGGCTGGAGGGCACGGGGGAGGCGGGCGGGCACAAAAACACGATAGGACAAGGCAAAGACAGTAAGCTGAGAAACAAGTAGCACTGACGGAACAGGCAAAACGAAAAAAATACAATTCCCAAGAAAGTCAAAGGACCGAAAAAAATAAAAATTGATGATAAAAAGATTGTTTCGTCGGAGTTGCACCGACTCATTAGGAGGCCGAACCCTCGATAATCTGCGGAATCCCCGTATTTGATGGTTTAGGTCATGAACCCTTTGACCCTTGTTGAAGGTAAATTGTCCCCAAGCGGAACATAGCAGCGAGCAGCAGCCCTGTGACGCACCAGGCAACACAGCAGAGGCAACAAGGCTGCACAACTCCAAAAGCGACTGCAAGGAACGGCATAGCACGTCGGGCATGCAGCGCGTCAGTCGTGTAGTGAAGCACAAGGCAACACAAGCAAGGCAACTTCACTGCAGAGGACAACAAGTAGAGCGGACCAGCAATTGGGCAACTGTGGAGCGGAGCACGAGGCACCAACAACAAAGCAACCAACCTACAGGGCGCACAAGCGGCAAACACGGAAGGCACGGCCAGTGGATGAGCAGCACGGCAGCGAAGCAACGAAGCGCAAGGCGACACCAACAACGCGGCCACACCTTACAGTGAACACATCAACCTGCAAAGAATCGCATGCAAAGCAAGCGGGACACGCAGCAAGGCAGCGACGGAGCGCGGATGAGGACATCCACACATCCAACACATAGCAAAGCAACACATGACCTACTCATATCACGATTGAACCCTGCAGACTGTTGGTTCCCACCACCCACTGAGCTGGGGAGTCACTTCGACGAACATCCGCCATAACCGACAGGCAACACAAGCATCCCGAACCGAGCAGCCCCCATAAGAGTGCAATCGGCACTTCAAACGAGGAACCATTGACTGTTTGGCATTACTTAAGGGTGCTCAGGTGGACACACAAAAAAGTTGGAAAAAATCAGGGGAAGAACAGACAACAGAAGAAAGACTGACAAACATAAAACTGATTGTATGTGTGTGTGTGTGTGTGTGTGTAAG